CGGCACATAATTTCGGGCTTTTCTCACTACTCTCTGAAACCAAAAACTGAGAAAGATTTTTTAAATATACGGCTGCCATTGTACCAAAATGAAATGCAGTGAGGCCAAGTTTGTAAAAATAATTCATTATTGATAACGAAGATTTATCGACTGTTTATTCATATATCAATTACAATATTTCCCCTGAAAATTTCTGCCCTTGTTCAATTTTTAATGTACAAAACCCAACTTTTGGGTTACCTAATCGATCGTTGAATATCCTTTGTTCGGCAATCTCGATCCTCCTTACATATCCGTTCTTACACATGCACCTCTCGGATTTCAAATGCGCCGGCGACTCCGTCGACTCGAGCGATGAAAGTCCGAGACTGTCGCAGACGGCGACATTTTCAGATTTCAGACCCTGCCAGATTCACTCCAGACTGGACAGATTTCTCGCGCTCGCGCTCGCGGACATTGCGATTTTACGGCGCGCTTCATACTCCGCTTCGTGTTTTATCTCGACTTTACTGCGCCGTTCGCGCAGTATAGCGGATTATCGCAGTCATTAAAACCGAGAAAGAGAGAGAGAGAGGGGGGAGGGGGAGGGGGGGCAAAAAAGGAGAGGAAAAAACGCAGAAGGGAATCAATAATGTCGCCTTTCAGTCGGAGACTCAAATTTTCAAGCGCTCGTAGAGCAGCAACGGCGCGATGAGCCCCGCCATGGAGAAACAGCTCCATTAGAGACACGCGCGGATGCGGTTAGTACATTGCTTTTTAATTACGTCGTGAACTCGAGAGTTACGACGCTGTCTCTGCTTCTCGGCCCTCCCCCTGGCCGTTCTTCAGCCTCACGGCCTCCGCGCCAGTCACTAGAGCAGCAATTTTGTGCCAATTAAGGGCGGCCATTAAGAGCGCGCGAGCGCGAGCGCGGCTTGCGAGAGAGAGAGAGAGAGAGAGAGAGAGAGAGAGAGAGAGAGAGAGAGAGAGAGAGAGAGAGAGAGAGAGACAGAGAGACGCGAGCCACGCGGCCACGGAGCGCGTCTAGGATTTCATTTAGACGCCATTCCGCCACCAGCCGCCATTGCGGCCGCGATGTTAACGGCATTAATCATTCGCATTCGGTTACAGTCGATTATCTTATCGCCCAGGTAAGCGCGATTGAGCTAATGCGCAACGAGGAACTTGGGCGGCAAGCGGACGCGAGGGATTTGGTCGTCGATCGAATCTGCGGTCTCGGCAAAGCCGTCGCTCTCGCTCGCGCGACTCGTCCTCGGCGACTCGGCGATTTGCGACTCGATTACGCGGTCGAACTCCCCGGCTGGACCCAGAGCCATGCGATTAGCCAGCGGACTGGCCTGGATGGCATGCGATCATTGTGATCTGCAGAGAGAGAGAGAGAGAGAGAGAGAGAGAGTACGTCGGAAGAGCAGACGGCGGTCGCCAAGCGGCGAGTCCATTACATCGATCGATCGATCCGTAGAGCTCGCGATGGAACATACCGTGGAATTCGATTTATAAGGGAACGTCCCTCTGACGAGACAGTTCGCCCGCGCATGGATCCGCATAAAACCGATCCAAATTCTGTCCCCCCGTGTTACATCCCGTGACCGCTCGTGAGTCGTGGGTTCTCCCAAAATAAAGCCTTAGATTAAAAAAGAAGCGCAAGCGCTATCCCCTCCATGCTTCCCATGGTCGCCATATTGGGCCCACAGCTGTCTAGTGGCCTGTTCTTTTTAGCTGCACTACTCAATTAATGCGATAAGTTAGAGTGAGAAAAAAATATAGTGGTTTCTAACTCTCTAACTTATTGCACCAATTTTGCGGTGCAACTGAAAAGAACAGACCACGTTTGTAAACAGAGCAACCTGCGTATCTGATGCAATTGGAAGTCACTCAGAAACGTTCTTATTTCAATTCCAACGTTAAATAAGAGATTCCTGAAATTGTGGAATGTCTCATCTCGAGTTGAGAAATGCAGACCACCTTGGTGGGTGACATCAACATTTCGTTAAAGTAAGGTTATTATCATAATATGATTTTTGTTTGTTTGTCTCATGGATGTCTAAAATGTTTTTTTTTTTTTATAAGGAAACAACATTACAAATATGTTATTTCGTCACTTACGATATGCTTGAGATTTGTTGAGATTTGAGATGTTGAGAGTTTTGTTGAGAGTTGAGATTTGGTTTCACACAAGATTCATTACGGGACCAATATGGCGGTTAGCCAGTCAGCGAGCGAGACTCCGCTTGCGCTTCTTTCTTAATGTAATGTTTTACCCCCAAACACAGGTCCTCATGATGGATACGAGGGTGGCGATATTTATGCGCGCGCGCGCACACATACGCACACATCGATCGCCATTTAATATTGAATACTATACTTGGCGCGATATCAGATGTAAGAGCTCATTATACTTTGATGGTAACGACGACGGCACTTTGGACGACGAGAGATCCCCGGCAAGATTATCATCATTTCGATCGTCGACGCTCAGGAGTCCGAGTTGAAGTGTCTAGCGTGTTATGGGCGCTTATATTTCTTCTGGGTGAACTTACGGAGACCACCCTTGTCGCCATGATTTTGCTGAAAAATCCCTTCAAATGATGCCAAACGAATGCTCTTGGGCATTCCACCGACAAAGGAGTTAAACCCTTTGCTGGTCCTCCTAGAGTGCCATTTATCACTCAAGCTTGTTTTTCCAATAATTTAAATTTTTCACATATTTTTTTAGCGTATTTGGTATTGTTGGACTACTAGAATGTCCCTCTAACTAATGCATCAATTTTAGAGTCATTTCAAATAAGTAACTTGTCATTAATAAACATATACTGAAAACAAAACTGTCATTTTTAGAGAACAAATTTGTTTACATGAAATTTTAAGTAATAACATACAATTCAAAATCATTATCTGGAGTTTTTTGAGGTCGCTGAATATGAATCCGGAATGAAAAATACAAAATTCAAAATGACGGACTCAATATGGCAAACGGAATTTTCAAAATCAGTCGAATCCGCTTGAAACTTGTCACTCGAGGGTTTTTGAAGTCGCTGAATACGAATCCGGGGTGAAAAATAGAAAATTCAAAATGACAGATCTCATACGGCGCGAATATAATTATAGAAATGAAACAAGCTGACTGCGCTTGAGAACCGGGCAACCTGACCGGTGCAACCGAACCTTGCCGTATATATCCGTCATAGCTCTGGCATTTCGAATTTTCGGTAACGAATTTGTAATTAGCAACCTCGAAAACCTTAAATAACAAATTTCAAGCGAATTCGGCTGATTTTGAAAATTACGTCCATCACATTGGGCCCGCCATTTTGAAATTCGTAGTAACAAGTTTCACAAAATTATATTCATTAAATAAGAACGTGCAACAAAGGGTTAATGGCGGGGAAAGGTGAGGTTGCGTATATTACACATATTTTCAAATATGTTCCCATAGTTAAGCCAATGACGATATATTCGTTAACCTACTACTCTTAGTCACCCAATTCTTCTGCCGTTAAATGTTTTAAATTAAAAGATGGAGCATCTACCAAATTGTTCTCCTGGAACAACAAAATTCGTAACGTCACTTGAGTGTCACCGTGGTGAAAATTCGTAGCAATTATTAGGCGCGGCTGGTTCTCGGAAGTTTATCCTCTTTCCCTCCCTTCTTCACAAACTCATTACGACTTCCGCTCCTGCGGATACCGCGCTGCACCGAGTGACCAGAATTTCAACGTCGACCCCGGCTGATCGACTCGCCGGTCACCGAGTCGCGCGGCGTCGGATTTTTGTCGCGGGCGCGCCGCGAAACGGGGGAGGGAGGAGTTACATGATGCTCGGGCCGGCGAATAAAATCACCGGGGCACGACGAATCGATCTCGCTCGCGCTCGCGTAGGCCGCCCCGCACGAGCGAGCGAGAGCGCCTTTCCCCGCAGAGACGCGGCTCTCGCGAGTGATAAAACGCGCGATGGCGCGTTATGCGCTTTGCGCGCATCCGTTTAGCCTGACGGCTGCGCGAGGCACAAAAGGGCATTTCGCGCGGTTTGTTGATCCTCTCTGCGCTGCCGCGCGCTAAATGCCATTGGAGCATGACGGAGAGTGGCGCGCTCGCAACGGCGAGCCACACGCAGCTGCGATGGCGACGGGGGAGAGACTCGACCAAAAAAGAAAAAAAAAAAGAAATACGGATTTCTCGTAAAGCTTTCGGCAGAAAAGGTCTCGGGAAAATACGAGCTGCGAAGCTGAGCTCGCAGCTCGAATATCCCAGCGACATGAGCAGTCGGTCATTGACGAGACGGGATCGTTGTGTGTCGTTAATTGATCGTTGAGGGAAGCCGATTCTCGGATTTTCCGGAGAGGAAACACGCATTTTGCCGGATGCGCGATATTACAGCGGTCGTATCCGATCACCTTCGGACGGATTGACTTCCCGCGCGGGCCGTCGGCCGAAGGCTCTCTCGCCGCGGATGAAACTTTTATTTCAGAATCTTTTCTCCCTTCACCCACGCCGCCGCGGCGGCAATATCGATCGGCCTTTCCGTCGTCGGAGTGACCGATAAATTTTCGATGCTCCCGTGCCAAAACGCCGGGGCGTGTATCTATCGCTCGTCGAGCGCGCGTATTGTCTGAGAATTGGGGTCGAGTTTCGTCGTCTGCAAGTCGCGCAAGCGGAAAAAATGACGATCGACTCGACGAGGCATTAAGACGATTATATTTTTTCAAAGCGGATGCGCGCGGGATAAAATGTGCAGCGGCGGAGGATATTACGAAGTAACTTACGAAAGCCCGGCGAAATGGCAGAGCCGCGAGAGAGAGAGAGAGAGAGAGAGAGAGAGAGAGAGAGAGAGAGAGAGAGAGAGCGGGAGGGATGAGAGAGTTCCGCTCAGGGACCATATCGGATTTGATGAGCGTAACGACACGTGCAGCGGGGCGCGAATGTAGTTTTAAGAGGCGAGCGCGCGCGTGCGCGGAAATGCTGGAAACGTTGCGAAATTATTTTCTGCTCTTTCTGTTACAGGCTCGACCAGCCGGTGACCAACTCGACGCCCGGGATGGACAACAAGAAGGTAAATCATGCTTTTGATGCATCATGTGTTGGTTGAAGCGGAGAGAGAGAGAGAGAGAGAGAGAGAGAGAGAGAGAGAGAGAGAGAGAGAGAGAGAGAGGGGATTTGCATTATCAGAGTAAAGATACGAAAATTAATGCAAATACGCGCGTATATGTCATATAATAAGCGCGGTTGGCAAAGTTTGTCTCTCAAAGGCAGCTCGTTACAACTTGCTAAATCAAAAGAGAAAAAGTGAAATCGAGCAACTCACCTCTCTCTGGCTCTCTGTCGTCGCTCATTTTGAGAAAGAACTCCTCGTGTTACCGTTGTCGCTATCCCGTTGAAGCGACGCAAGACGTGTTCGAGTTTCCGTCGCTTTCATCGCCGAGTCTCGCGATGTTCTTCGCCACATATATATACGCCGCCCGTCTCACATGCGAGTGAATAAACGCAAACAATGTGCGTCGTCCAGATTGACGAGACGCGCGTGTGAGAAAAAAAGAAAAAACGATAAAAGCGACGAACGCGCGCGCACGCGCGCATTCGTGGCTCGACAAAAGTAACAGCAACGCGATATGTCACATATCGTCGTCACATTACACGCGCAGTCGTCGCGCGCGCAAAACGCGCAGCCCCGATTGCGTTAACCCCGTCGTTGCGAGCGAACAAGACCGATACTGCAGAACGAAACGTCGTTACCGAGTCGTTAGTGAAAAAAAAAGTCATTCGCGCCGCGACGTAACGACGTTACGAACCACACACGCATACTTTGTTCGCCCCGCCGCGCCGCTCCCGCAAGTTATTCACTCGACTCGCGCGCGATTATCCTCGGCTGCGCTGCAGCCGGCGCACACCGCATCGTCCTCCCGCGCGCATCCTGAGCGGCAACAACCAGTCGTGACAGAATCCATCTTACGAGGCGGGAAAGGAGAAGTAACTGAATCACGACGAAACCGCCGCGTCGCCCTTCGAGGCGGTCCGCCGGCCCGGAGGGCGGGGGCGGGGGGCGAGGGAGCAGAGCCAAATTGTCGCGACGCACACGGAGCGTAATTAATTAACGGCCGTTCTCCCGCGATCGATTATTACCTACTGTTCGCAAACCGCGATGTTTAATGAGTCGCATGCGGGCGGGTCGCGCCGCGCGCGCGAACGAGAGAACGGCGGAGTTGAAATGCACGCGTGGCGAGATCTCGTCGCGCTGTGCTCGGCCAATTAGAAGCATCGCTCGAATTAGCGCTCTGACGATTACCTCGTTCGGCATAATGGGCGAGCGATGCGAATCACGGCGCGCTGGTCGTGATTTAATGGAACGACGCGCAGGATCAGGCGAAACGGCGGACGGCGATGAAGGGGGTGAAGAGGGGGACGGGGCAAAAAGAGAGGAGCAGGGAGGATCGGTGCGCGGCACCGATCGTGAAAGTTCGGCCGTTTTTCCCGTTCCGCGGAAAGCAAGTTCTCTTCACGGGATTACTGCGAGAGGAAGAGGAGGAGGAGGAGGACTTTCTCGTCTGCTCCGTCGGCCGAACGTCGCGCGACTGCTCGCCCCTGCCGTCGTCGTCGTAGCGCGAGCTCATATACATATACACGTACACACACAATTGAACGGATGATTGGGAAGCATTTCCTGCGCGCCTCGATTTTTTTCTCGCGACGAAGATGCGCGCGTGGAGAATTTCGCGCCGGGCTTCGAAAACGAACGCCTGCGTTAGTGCTCTGCCGCTTAGCATCCTCTGCGCGGATTCTCTCTCTCTCTCTCTCTCTCTCTATCTCTCTATCTCTCCTGAGAAAAAACCGCGAGATCCCGGAGGAACGATTATGTCGATGGCGGACGGACTCGCTCGCTCGAGGTTTTCTGCCGACCGCGCATTAGCGTGAATTAGCGCGCGATTCGTGTTTTTATCGAGAGAGCACGAATGAGACGAGAATTCTCGTCGAGAAAACCACGCGCCGGTGTGGATGGAGTGTCCCGGGATTTGTCCGCTATCGATGTCACTCGCCTTTCCGAGACTCTTCGTCATATCGGGACGCGACTATCTTCCCGAACGAGGAAAATCGTTCGCTGTAACATTATGATTTTCGGGGCAAATATTTGTCAACCGACAACCCACCTATGCGACGTCGCAGTATCTCTCGTGTACCTCCCTCTATGGTTCCCTCGGCAATGTTACATATTCGCTCTCGCAACATGCCAACTGTGCGCAGCTCTCTCTCTCTCTCTCTCTCTCGCTCTCTCTCTCTCTCTCAAAGACCCCGCGGTACCTTTGTGCGGCCGTTGTAAAAATACAATCGTATCGTGTTATCGGCGTTTCCAAGTGCGTCGAGAAACGACGATGCGCCCGCGCTATCGAAGGAACACGGCATTTTATCCGGATAACGAGGAAGCACTCTCTACGGCCTTCTAGATAAAAACGCCTGCCAGTACGAATCTCGTGTTGACAGACAAGCCTGGCGGAGGCGGGCGATACGGGCTACCAAGTGTCGCGCTCGGATAAGCGATATCCAGCTGCAAACGCGTGAACGTGAGTCGACGTGAACGAAGTGGCACGTGTCGCGCTCTCAGGATTATGCGACGAGCTCCGCCGCGATGGAACTCGCGCTCTCGTCTCCCGCCCGGGATCTATCGTTATCACTTATCTCGCACGTAGATTCCGATAACGCGCGAAGGAACACCCACGCGGCGATGGGATTACGAGAGAGACGACTGTGTGTATCGATTTTCCCTGCGCGCGCTCTCTCTCTCTCTCTCTCTCTCTCTCTCTCTCTCTCTCTCTCTCTCTCTCTCTCTCTCTCTCTCTCTCTCTCTCTCTCTCTCTCTCTCTCTCTCTTTCTCTCTCTCACTCAGAATTTTCTCGAGTGACATTAACGTCGCCCTGCCGTTTCTCCCTTGCGGAACCACAACGCGTCTCGTCATCGCGCGTGACATTTCACGTGCGGAACGTCGCGTGCGTAAACTACTTTTCGTCGTCGCCCTCCGCACATCCGCGGTCGAGAGACGTCTAGGAAAATTCCGGAGAAGGGAGAACCATCTGGGACCGGGCGAGACAGGGGGGAGAGAGAGAGAGAGAGAGAGAGAGAGAGAGAGAGAGAGAGAGAGAGAGAGAGAGAGGGAGGGAGAGAGGTAAATTATTCATCTCCACGTCGGAGATGGAGTTTCAAGCGGTTCCTCCCCCTCCTTCAGCCTCTCCGCCACCCTCCGCCGTGCTCGCCTCGCTTGAACCTCCGCGAGCCCCGGCGATCTTTTGTGCCGATACACACCGCTTTTTTGCGTATGTATTTTTAAATCGAACGGACAGACACCGGAGAAATCGATGGCTAGCTGCATAATATACCGAGCGTCTCTCTCTCTCTCTCTCTCTCCCCCTTCCGATGATTAAATCCGGCCCGCCACCCCCGAACCACCAGTTCCGCCGTGGTGGGAGGAATACATGTGCGCTATCGGAAAACGCAGTCGACATACCATCCTGTCGAGCAATTGGTTATTTAACGACCTCTTTTATCCGTTGAATGTCAACCGGCGGCGCTTTCTTCCTCTCTCCCCCGCCGCTTCATTCGTAAAGCGAACGACGCCGCGAGGAAGATCGATGCATCCCGCGTACGCGGATCTTCGGATCGATCGGCCGGCTGTCGTCGGTGGGAGAGTTCTTTTTTCTTCCTTTTTCTTTTATACTCTTTTTTTCTTCTTCTTCTCGCTTCCTCTGCCGCCACGCTCACCGTGCGTTATCCGCGTCGCGGCGCGACTTCTCATTGTCGGATAGACGTTTCGCGTTCCGGCTCGGTGAAATTCTCGCCGGTCAGTCACGGCTGCGGAGCTCTCTCGCGATAATGCGACGCGTCGCCGGCAAGCGGAAAAGCGGATTTCGATCCGCTCGTCGCTCAGGGGAGGCATGACGAGTATAAAGGGTGTCGGGATCTCGGTTGCACGCGCTGACCGCGGCACGAAGGAACCATTTCAAATTTCACCGAGGATTTATCGCATCTGGTTTCCGATCGTCCGCTCTCCGTCTCCCCTCCTCCCCCTCTTTCTCTCTCTCTCTCTCTTTCTCTCTCTCTCGCACACGCGGGATTGTTTTATCGTCGCGGATATTTAAAGTCATTTTTTGCATCTCCCAACGCGCGTTAGTCATTGAAATCAGGACACCGTGCCGCGATGAAATATATTTCATCGAGGTGTCGAATAATAAAGAATACGGCCATCTTGTCACATGTCACTTGGTCCGAATGGTATCATTTGTTAAATTACACATTACGTTCACTTTGAATTATACAAATGTTTGGCTGATTGTACAAACTTAACTTTCTCCCTCTTTCTCTCCTGTATATAAACCGCGATTAATTTCTCTCTCTCTCTCTCTCTCTCGAGAGAGAGAGAGAGAGAGAGATCTCGGATATAGACGGGGAGTAACATCGATGAGGGAAACTGTGCTTGTGAAATATGTTTACTTCGGATTTTATTAGACATTTTATTTTAAATATTCACATTATGCGTATTCGATTGTAAGGAATGTTCAGCGTGAAAGTTTCATTGGAGAGAAAATTAATCGCGGTTTATATACAGGAGAGAAAGAGGGAGAAAGTTAAGTTTGTACAATCAGCCAAACATTTGTATAATTCAAAGCGGACGTAATGTGTAATTTAACAAGTGATACCATTCCAAGTGGGCCAAGTGATGTGTGACAAGATGGCCGTATTCTTTATTATTCGACACCTCGATGAAATATATTTCATCGCGACACGGTGTCCTGATTTCAATGACTAACGCGCGTCCTGATTTCAATGACTAACGCGCAATGACTAACCTCTCTCTCTCTCTCTCTCTCTCTCTCTCTCGAGACGCGGGGGAGAATTCGAGCTGAAGAGGGTCGCGGAATCAGCAGCGACATTCGCGACTGGATGAAGGAGTCGCGATAAAAAGGCGCGCTTGTTTATTTATTTTGCAGATTGTCCAGTCGCCGACGCCGCCCGTACCCGTCCAGGTACGTAGTAAGCACGATGGCTCGGGGGTGGCGGCTTCTGTGTCGGGGGTGCGTAGACGGAGCGGCCCTCAAGGGCTGCGCTCGCCCGCCGCAAAAAGGCCCCTCTCCGCCCCCGTTGCACTTCAGGGCTGGTTACACAAGCAGGGCTCGGAGGGTCTCATGCTCTGGAAGAAACGTTGGTTCGTGCTCTCCGAGTACTGCCTCTTTTACTACAAGGGTGAGTCTGCGTGTTGTATTAGCTAATGCTTTTCTTTCCCCGGCACACCTGAACGTACACACACACATACACACGCGCGCGCGCGCGCATACATTTTGATGCGTTTTACGTTGTTGTTATTATTATTGCCGCTGTGTTATCGTTCCCGTTACGGCGCACCGAGCGCAATATCATCGCACGATTTTCACGAGCGCCATCGCGCCGCCGCTGTAGAGCAGCTTGCTTATTAACAGTCCGATCCGGCGGCGGATGCAACATTTATCCGCCGTACAATTATCAATCGGTGTTATATATACCGGCATAAGCGTAAACAATTAGCCTAGAAATGATCCGTTAACAATATTCGTTAACAAATCGACGAAAATTGAGGTTAATTGCGCGAGCCTCGTCGACCGCGCCGCGTCAATCGCACAAATCAATTAAATTATTCAATCATTCGCATTACGATTCCCGATGACGACAGACCGAGGAGCACCAACTTGATCAACCAATCTGCCAACAGCCCGACTAGAAATTTATCCTATGCTCCTGATCAGGGTCACCTCATTTGGTCGTCAGGTCTGAGTAAGATGATATCGGGTCCAGTGGTTAATTCTTTCCGATGAAACTTGCACAGCTCAGAGCAAAATTCGAGATTGAAATATTTTCCCCGTTCTTCTGCGCTTCTAAAGTGATGACATCTAACTTATCGAGATGACGTGTGGTTTGGCGTTTGATGCGTACGCCATAACCTCAAATCATCAGCGTTCACGATGGCTACCAACGAAGAGCATACTCGATACGCGATGCATTTCGCATATCATTTAAACAAAAACGCTTCTGAGGCAGAATCTGCAGAATAATCAACTGTACTTAACTCGTTAGAATCTGATAATGCGAGCCATTAGGTACAATGAATAAAAATCCTGACAAGGACTCTGTCAACCAAACTAGGTTGTTACATCAAGGTCCTAATATGGATCCAATTATTATAACCTTACAAAGGTCTTCCTTACTCAATTGTCATCAGGACATTATAAAGTCTGACTTAATTAGGATTACCCTTCACTCACCCTATTTAGGTACTTGCCAATATCAGGCGATTACCTGATTAAAATTTCTTTCCGAGAGACGGCGGCTTTCATTTCGAGCCAGTCGGACGCCAGTCGGTTCTCAGGCTTAAAAGAAAGAAAAAAAAAAGAAGAAGCGAGAAACTAAGGAAAAAGGACTTGCCGTCACAATCGCTTCCACGCGCCAAATGTTTTGGTCGGACGAACGAACATCCTGGTGGGAGCTCAGCGAGACACGGAAATTCCGCCGGCAAGTGATCGGAATTCAGCGTCTAAATGATCACGATTTCCGGCCAACTCCAACAGAATTCCACTTTCTCTCTCCTCTTCGGCCGGACCTTCTGGATCGCCCACAATTCAGCAGAGCCGCTTCACTCGACCAAACACCTCCCTCCGTGTAAACAAACCGCCGCCGCCGATCGGCGTCTCTGCCGTGGCCGTACCACGCGATGTAATAGAAGTCATTCTCCAGTTCTCGACGACAGCCATTAACGGCCGGGCTCTTTCGCGCGGTCAATTCGGATATCTTCCATTCGCGGGCCTTCGTTTCGGCCCGCGAGCATCGCGAACATGGCTTCTGGCATCGCGCCAGAGGTTCCGCCCAGTTTCACCGAAATCGCGCGCTCGCACGAGCCGTGCTCTTCTAATCTGCCTGTCGACTAAGGGCGCTAATTTCGCCGGCGACCCTTTGAGCTTACGTGGTGCGCCAAGAAGCGTGTCGCCGTGGTCGTCGCGCGCCCGCCAGCGAGTCGTACACTTCATGAGATGACGCTTCATCAAAGATTCGTCCCGCGCCTCTTCGCCTGCTCTCCCGCCGGGCTCATCCTTCGTGTCATCCAGCGAGGAAGTTCTCCCGGGCGGTACTCGTGGCGGTTTGACGCGTGGTTTACATTACAGAACTTCAGTTAAATTAGATTCAATGCGGGTGCCGCAGCTTGATTAGCGGCTTGCCGAGCCTCTTGGAGTGTCCTTGCGCCCGCAAAAACGGAGGGAGAACGGGATCCGACGCGGGGCTCTTCTCCCGATATCGATCGCGAACGCGCAGCGGGTTCGCTCTCAACGTCCCGGAGATCGATCTCGCGTGTTGAAGAACGAGGATACATCGTCTGTCGCCGCTTATTCGTCGTATTATCGTCGTTGTTGACAATTTTTCGGCTAAGACTCGGGCGGGGAAGAGAGTTCTTGGCCTTGGGTTGTTGTATTAGGTGTACAAATGAATAATCGAAATTTTTCAGCTAAATTCAAGGTTTATTTTAAAAGAAAGTAAAATTTATCGATCAAAGTATTCGCCATTGTTTTCTGTAGCTTTGAGCCATCTTTCAGGCAGCTGATGAATTCCATGTCGGGGAAATGTGTCTTTGGACACGAGATAAAGTCGTCAAACCATTTGCCGACCTCATCCACTGATTTCAAGTGCGTATCCGACAAGGCATGTTGCATCGACCGGAACAAGTGGTAATCGGTAGGAGGATCGCTAGGAGGTGAATACGCCGGCTGCTGCAAGACGTCCTAGCCAAGCCACTCATTATGATGTCTTTTGTCGTAGAAACAACGTGTGGCCTAGCGTTATCATGCAACAATCTCACAGGACGTTCTTCTTCGCCACTATACGGACGTTTTCCTTCTAATCCTTCACTCAAACGGATTAAGGGCGGGGGGGGGGAATAACATCTGAGTGAAAACACAGAGCAAGTTTGGGAATTTTTTGTAGTTAAGTAACAACATAGATGGAAAATTGATTTGAAGGCCTCTAACGCGCATACCTTAAACTACACAAAACAATTTTTTGTTGTTATTTTGCCTCAAGATGGCGGCGCTGAAGCTCTCCAAGTAAAATCCCGTTTCTCGAATTGGCTTGCAGCAGAACTTCATTAAATTTCATCCGATCCACTCGAAATTTTTACAGTGGCTGCTAAACTAAATTCTCTAGAGAAGCACACATGATTTTTACGATCGGTTAAAAACTTTGGTTATTATAAATATTTTTTCACTGAATTTCTTGGATAAAACTGAAACTTTTTTCCTAATGTTCACCATTTCTACAAAAATCAATATTTTAACATATACGTGTGTACTTCTCCAGCAAATTTAATGTAGATTAACAAAAATTTTTCCTTTTTGTCCTTTTTGAAAGTGTACGGCATTTCTGCACAAGTCCCCCCGCAAGCCGCGGGGGGACCCTATGAGGAAAATGCGGTTTTACTTGGAGAGCTTCAGCGCCGCAATCTTAAGGCAAAATAATAACAAAAAATTGTTTTGTATAGTTTAAGGTATGCACGTTAGAGACCTTCAAACCAATTTTCCATCTATGTTGTTACTTAACTACAAAAAATTCCCAAACTTACTCTGTGTTTTCAGGCGTTCTCACTCAGATGTTACCCCTTAATTGGTGTTGGTAATGGTCCGCGGTAATTGTTTCATTCGGTTTTAATAGCTCATAACAAATCACGCCCTTCATATCCCACCTAGTGCACAGCTGAATCTTCTTGCCGAAGTGTTTCGGCTTTGCGACCGATGTTGCGACGGTTCGCCGGGATTTACCCATGACTTTCTGCGTTTCGGATTATAGAATATCCACTTCTCGGTAAGAATATCCACTTCTCATCGCCCGTAACAATTTTCCACAAGGAAGACTTTCTTCGCTGCTTATCGAGAGGAGAAAGACACACTGCCACTCGTTGATTTTTGTTGGCTTCAGTGAGTTCATGCGGAACCCATTTTCCTTCTTTCTGAATATTCCCCATCTCTCGTGTAGACGTTTGGAAATAGTTTGTTGCGTTACTCCTAATTGCTCTGCGAACTCTTTTCGCGTTTGCGCTGAATTCTCAGCGAGCAGTTGCTCCAAATCATTGTTGCCGCACTTCCGAGGGCCTCCAGGACGTTCTTTGTCACTCAGACTGAAGTCGCCGCTTTTAAACCGTCTAAACCAAAACGCACACATATCGTGCACAATATAATGTACCTTCGCCGAGAAAGGAACAAATCGATTCGCATCGACTCCTGCAGCATTTTTTCCTTGTTGGAAATTCGTAAAAAATGCAGTGTCGGATATATGCACCTTATCTGTTGCCTTATCAGTTTTCACTGTATTGAACTGAATAATTTTTGAGGTTGTGTTAAGTCTTCTGCCATATTCAATGTAATTTTTAATAACTATATGTCAAACACTACATACATAATCGTAAAAGAGCGAGGAAATTTGACTATTTGAAGCTTAATTTCTCAGCCGCTTAAAAACATTTGGATTATTCATTTGTACACCTAATATTTTCCCTGAGAAGCGGGCTGCTTCTCATTTCTGCGGCTAAACCCATCTCGATTCGAGCCCCAGCTTACGGGACTCGCACGAGCAGACACCAAAGGTGACTCTTCGCTCATAAAGAGCGAGCTCGTTTGAATTTTCCAGCGCGGTGGATGACGTCTTTGGCAAACGCGAAAGGTCACGCCGACCGGGCGACGCCGGTCATCCTTGACCGAGGAGGCGTTCTCGCCTTCCTGACGATTAACCGAAGCGAGAATGTCTTTTCGGGACGGCATTTCGCCCACAACGGTGAGCGCTCGTGCAATTTCGTGCGATGATCGAGCGCGCGTTGCCTCTTCTTTTTTCTGCTTTCTTAATAAACGCGCTCAGTCGACCGCGAATTTGAGCGCGAATCGGGACTACCGCAAACTCTCCAAAGCTCTCGCGTTGTTCGCCGTTAATTCTTAGGCGCGAGATCGCGCGACAATAATAGAAAAAAAAAAAGAAAATTGCAGCGCCGGTTAATCAATCGAGATTCCGTTCCGCTATCGGGAGCGGAGCGTCGTTTTTCGCTGCTCCGATACGTTGCCCCGACATTCCCCGGATCGTTCGCAGCTTGGAATTCGTTTGGACCGAAATTCCACGTTCTCCGAAACGCAACGCGAGAGAATTCGATTCTCTCGCTCGCGATTATACACACATACGGCGGCCGGGCTGGATCGCGCAGCCGGGATGCGTCGCTCGAGACCGAGCCGCTTTTCACGTCGGTGACGCCGCGTTTTTTTTTTTTTTTTTTTTTTTTTTTCCCCGATCGATGTCATCGTAATCGCGCGTCACGAGAATTCGCGAATTTCCCAGGCCCGCGAGGAAATATTGCCGGTACCGGAAAGCCCGCGAGCGCGTCTCGCAGCCGCTGCGGCGAGTAAACTCTTCTTGAGTAACGAACGATTTGAACTCGTCGCGGAACGAGCGCTAAACATCCCTGGGTTTCGCGCATTATTAATTATTAGAAAAACATGTCTGGTTGAGGGGACCGATTTTTCGATGAAACATCAAAGACTGAGAAAAGAGAACAGAAATTAAGCAGTTAAGCAAAACTCTGGCAGGCGGAATTCCTGTATCGCTCAGAACTCAGCAGAAAATTCTTCCGTTCAGCCGAGCTCTTCTCCACTCTTCAGCCACTCTTCTCCCCGTCGCGAAATCGCGCAGTCAAGGCGCGTCGTCGACTGCGAGGGCGGATTCACACCTTGACAGAAAACAGAAAAGCAGCATTCAGCACTCAGAAGTCGCGCTGATAGTCTTCTGGCTCTCTCTTGTGTGTCTGTCAGCGTCTGTCGCTCTCTTGGCTTCTGCTGTTCTGCTTTTCCGTTAAATCCGCCCTGAATAACGCGGCTGATCCGCTGATTTCAGGCCCGGAGGAGGAGAAACTGCTCGGTTCGATATTGCTACCTTCGTACCGAGTGACCGTGTGCAAGCCGGAGGACAAAGTCAACAAGAAGTTCGCCTTCAAGGCCGAGCACGCGAACATGAGGACTTACCACTTCGCGGCCGACAGCCGCGACAGCATGAACCAGTGGGTGAACGCGCTGACTCTGGCGACTCTCCTGCAGGATCCCAGCCCGTGAGTATCCCCGGAGTGTCCTGCGTCGTCATTAGGGTTGCCAGATGTAAGATGACTACTTCCGGGACATTTTTTAGGCGACGGTTGAAAAATAAGTTCTTAGAGAATTTTAGTTAAATCTGAGAGATAGAGGGGTAAGAAGGCTAAGAGATGTCGCTGCGTACTTGCGACGAATGAGTGAGTGAATTAGGTATCAGCAGGGAGAAGTTCAGACATAAACCGTGCGATTGAATTTCTTTTACCTTTTCTTTTTTTTTATTACACAAATGGCTCTTACTTGACTTGATCAATTTTCTCAAGAGGCACGTCAAATTTTTGGATCTTACAAATCGCGGTGACTGCTGTCACATTTCTCTCTAGTACCGGTTATAAACATGATTATAATTTTGTTGAAATTCTGATTTTTCGGGACAGAAGACTTAACGGGACTGGAGGGTCAGATTGCTGAAAAATCGTGCTTGTTTTTGATAATATTTTGTGACGAACTGAATAAATGTGCAAGAATGAAAATTTTAGGTATAGTTATACAACGAATACGAAGAGTAGAAAAATTTTGTTTATTAACAAATACTCGTATAAATATACGATATATATAGCTGAAATATACTCTCCTTTTTTATTTCAAGTTATCGTTTTTGCAGTAATATCTCGGCTCTCGGTGGTCCGATCGGAGTGAATTTTAGCTAGAAATCTTGAGAAAGCTTTTCATTATCCGGTGAACCACAGAAAAAAAAATCGAACAAAATTAACAAAATGGTATTATTAGGTAGCTATTATTAGGAACAAATTCAAATTTTTCAGTTTTTACAATAAAAAAATTAATATCTCGAAATGAAACATTTTGACGGAGTTGTCCATGGTTCACCTGAGAGCCACATGAACAAATATTATCGCTTTAAAATTTCAAATCGATACGAAGCTCAGTTGCGGAGAAATCGCTGCAAAAAGTTGAACAATAAAATTTCGAGAAAAACGCGTTTAAAATTTAAGCGGACGTATATTTATATGAGTATTTGTTTAAAAACAAAATTGCTCTACTCTTCATATGTTACATAAATATATGTAAAATTGTCATTCTTGCACATTTATTCAGTTCGTCACAAAATCATTGTCAAAAACAAGCACGATCTTTCAATAATCTGACCCTCCAGTCCCCTTAAATTCCGGGACACGGGACAAGCTTAAGAATTCCGGGACAATCCCGGAAACCCTAGTCGTCATTCGCAAGCGTCAGTCGCGTGGGTGGCGCGACAGCCGCTGAATGAACTCTTCCGCGAAACTCGTAAGACGTAGCTGCTAAGAGTGACGGTCCGCCGGAGGGGTGCGGCGGAAGGGAGCGGAGATCTCATCGAGAGAGCATCTCGCGGATCGTTGTGAGCCGATGAAGGGCAAGACGGATCGATTCGCGGCGCGAGCGCGCATTTCCCGGCGATGAACGAACGGGCAGGTGCCACCGTGGCAGCAGCGAACAAGAAGAAGCGAGCTTTCGCTTTGGCGATTATCACCGTATCACCGTATTATCGGCTCGCAACTGCGACCTGTTCTCCGCTAACCAGAAGGCAGCGACCGTCGACCAACGACGACCGTCGTCGTCTGGTCTCGGCCGCTCGTCCTCTTTCCGAGCGCGATCGTACAGCCGTATCGTGTCACGTGAAGCTTGGAAATAGCGATTGAAGCAACACACGCATGGTGCAACGAAGATGCAACACTGTGCTGAAGAGAGATCAGCCGGCTGACCTCTCGCCGCGGAGTCCAAGAGCGCGCAAGCTTTTTTCCCGTTCGCGCCGGTGTCCTTCACCTTCGACTTCTCGGTCGCTGGAAACGGACTTGCGTCCGTGTTTGCAGGACAAACACGGTGTCCGCGAGCGCTTTGCAACTGCATTTGACGAGCACCGGGCCGGTCCCCGTGCCCGGACGAAATGTCTCAGCGGCACGGAAGAGACGCTGAAAGCCACCTTGCTGAAGTGCGAGCGGCGTCGGCAATCACGACCGCATTAATGCTTGCTGCCGCGAGCCGCCGCGTCCAACCCGATACGGTTCATTAACGCGAATTGAATAAATGAGTGAGAGACGACGCGCGACACAAGGTTGCAGGAGAAGGAGGGGCCGATCGATAATACAATACACGCACCGCTGGCGTTTATTGTTTCCTCCGTTTTTCGCGATAATCCCTCCCGCGTCAGTGTCGGCCGCGCGCACACGCGTGATACTTTAATCCCGCGCCTTCCTTTGTTCGCACGACGCTCTCCGATTTTCACGCTACCGCTTCTCCCGCCGCTGCACCCTCAGCACTCTCTCATGACGTCTCGTTCCGCGTTGCCGCGCGCTGCGGACTGCGACGACGACGACGACGACGACGACGACGACGCGACTCGGCTTTGTTCGCCAAACTCCACGGAGTTGGCTCGCGCGCGATCCTGCCCCCGCCCGCGACCCGCGGCCTCGGAAAATTCATGAATTCCGGCGCGTTTGAATATTATGAGCGTCTCGCGCCAGCCACCCCCCGTCGACTCGCGATTTATATCGCGCGACCCGCGCACGGGGTGAGGAAGCGACAGCGCCCGGCCTCGACCAGACGTCTCGCTCGGGGTTGTTCTTTTTTCCCTGCTTCCCTTCCTCTCTCTCTCTCTCTCTCTCTCTCTCTCTCTCTCTCTCTCTCTCTCTTTCTCTCCCTCTCTCTCTCCCTCTCTCTCTCTCTCTCTGTCTCTCTCTCTTTCTGCCTGTCGGATGTGTTTCGCGCGACGCCGATCTGCGAGCCCGGCAAAAGTCAGGAGATTAGCTCTCGACGTCAGTGAGACGCATGTGCTTTTTGATGCGTCGGCCGAAGGGAATTGGGCCGACGCACAGTGGGGCCAGATGACATTCTTTGGTTGAGAATTCTCTAGAGACCTGAATTTCCAACCGATTATCGACACCAATGGATGAGGTTGATCCTGAATAAATTCCGAAGAGATATGTCTTGCCAAAATTAAAAAAAATGATTTTTCTCGAATTACTAGAGGACCCACAAGAGGAAACGAATTATCGCGAGAAACGCGAGAAACTTGTGAAATACTCATTATTCGACATTTATTTCTACCTAACAGCGTATTCAGCGGATTGAAACTATGAAACCAATCAACAGACAGCTCGAGACTTATCGATCTTGAAGCAGAAACCCATTAACCCAAAACTCATATGCCCAAAATACAAAAACATCAAATACAGATACCCGTTAAGCACAAAACTGAGGGATTTTGAGTCTTAAGCCCATCAACCTAAGAATCTATCAATCCGAGAACTTTTTAGCTCGTGGATGCATCAAGCCGTATACACGAGGATAGTCCCAGAAGTACCTGACCTGACGTATAGATAGCGGTTGTTGTTTGAAAAGAATTACTATGGTAGAAAGTAGCAACCTTATAAAGCTTAAGTTTGAAGTTTGACGACGCTACGTTATTTAGTATTTGTTTGGCAGCCATCAATAGTGAACGTTCTCAGTGAATTTGTAAACATGGAAAAAATTGGTCATCGTTATGTGATACAATACTTTCATTTGAAAGGCCTCAGTCCAGCCAATATCAAAGCGGAGCTGGATTCTACTCTGGGGAAGTCTGCTCCTTCGTTTACAACAGTAAAATATTGGGTGGCAGAGTTTAAACGAGGCCGTACAAGCTGCCAAGACGAACATCGCAGTGATCGACCAAATGAGGTGACCACGCCAGAAATGGTGAAGAAAATCCACAAAATGGTATTGGATGACCGTCGACTGAAAGTGCGCGAGTTAGCAGACATGGTAGGCATTTCAAAAAGTGCTGTACATCGCATATTGACTGAAGATTTGGACATGAGAAAGCTGTGGGCAAGATGGGTGCCGCGATTGGAACAAAAATAGCGTCGTGAGGATGTTTCAATCGAGTGTTTGGCGAAGTTTCGCAGCAATAAAGCCGAGTTTTTGCGTCGATTCATAAGCATGGATGAAACATGGGTCCATCACTTCACACCTGAGACGAAGGAGCAGTCAAAACAATGGACCAAGGTGGCTTGATGGCTATTTTGAGGAGCTCGACGATTCCCACTATAAACAAAGGGTATCGAAGCTATTGAATCTCGCTGGGAAAAGTGTATTGAGCTATGAGGAGACTATATAGAGAAATAAAGATATTTTTTCCCAAATTTTTTGTGTTTTCCTTGTTAGGTCAGGTACTTCTGGGACTACCCTCGTACGTAGGCAGAAAAGGTCTGAAAAGTTCTCGACCTGACACATACATGGCATTAGAAACTGTCAAACTATAATTGTATTGGAAAATGGCATCCCTGATATAAACCCTGATATAAATGTAAAATTTTACTCGATCTGTCAAATCGTTCGAGTAGCAGCACCAGTTGAAAAAGCTTTGCGCAAAATGGGTGCCGCATTTGCTAACAGTTGACCAAAAACGCATTCGAACGCGTATTTCTCAAGCGTGTTTGGATCGCTTTAAGCAAAATAAAATGGATTTCAAGCGTCGTTTCATAACTGTTGATGAAACTTGGATCCACCGCTATACACCAGAGCGGAAAGAACCTTCCGGAATCACACTTTAATGATGGTATTGAATTATTGGAAAAAACTTTGGAATAAATGTATTGAAGTTTCAGGAGATTATATTGAAAAATAAAACATATTTCAAAAATTTCCTTTTATTGTTAGGCCGAGAACTTTTCAGACTGCTCTCGTATTAAAAGCCCCAAATAGCCCAGGAACCCAGTCTAGCCGTAGCTAGACCCAAGATCCACTGTACTTTAAACGATAAACCCTGAAGACGAGCCTTAAACCCATGAACTCTGAACGGATAATTTTTTTTTAATTTCTAGACATATCTCTTTGGAATTTATTCAGGATCAACCTCATCCATTGGTGTCGATGATCGGTTGGAAATTCAGGTATCTAGAGAATTTTCAAGCAAAAAAAATGTCATCTGTGCGACGCGGTGGTTGACTCGGGCGCCAAAATATCGCGTCGAGTCTGTCGTTTTGGCGCGTTTACGACTCGCGCTGATTTCTCCGCTTAGTTGACCGGCCGGGCTGGCACCACCTCGCCAGGTGGTTTCTCTCGAGGCTCACCCCCGCGCTCTGCCGTTGTCCATTAGTGCGTTGTCAGCGACACGCCGACCGACAATGGCGCGCGCGCGCTCTCGTTTCGCGCGCGGCGCGCATCGGCGAGCGTCGTTGTCTATTTTCTAACCGAAGCCCGATCAGCACGAGGGACGAGGGGCGCGGGCGCGGGCGTGACGGCTTTTTCAGTATGCGCTTCGGGACACAATGGCGGGGAATTAATTCCGCCTGCGCCGCCCGTAAGACGGGGCGGGGATTTTCGAGTCGTGGCGATAAATTCAAATTCGACGGTAATTCGCGCGGAATCGCGATATTAAAAACGAGGAGGGATATTAAAAATGAGCCTGCTCGCGCTCATACATATTCAGCGTGCCGAGCGACGACTAATTTTGCTAATGGTATGTATGGAGCGGATATCCGATCTTCAGGTTCCATCGACGCGCGTACGTTTTGCAACGGCGGCCGCGCCGTTCGATTTTTATTACCGCTCATTTATTCTCTCATTGGCGATCGCGCGATCTCTCCCGCACCGCGCTCTCGGCATTTCGGCGTCTCGCGACGTGCGAGAAATCGTCTGAATATCGTGATCCGGCAGGTGTGAGTCAGCGACTTTTGACGACGTTGACGGGCTTTTGCAGCCCGCGGAGGTGCAGCTCTGCGTGAACAAAGAAATTGAAAGTGCGAAGTATTAGGAGGTTAAATTGGTTCTGGTCCCTAGCAATAGATGACTTTAGTAACAAGTTAGTACGAAGATCTTGAGATCTGGCACACCTGCTGAAAGTTTTGACATTTCTCTGTGACATGTAACAGTTTGCACTTGCTATTGTTACTGATAGTTTCATTGTTTATACGCGACTAAAATAGGTCGTATAAAATTGCATTTTCGACATTCATTACTTTTTTTTGCTTGATTTGAAAAACCGAGGCGCATGAAATGCTTGTTATTACAACTTCTGGTGATCCAGCTCCATTCCGACTGCAAATTTTACTTTCAACGATTCAAAAGTGGTGATTTCGATTTGAGTGACAAAGAACGTACTGATCGACGTACTAAAAAACTTGGAGGATTCTGAATTGCAAGCATTATTGAATGAAAACACCGCTCAAACGGGAAAACAATTGGCTGAACAACTCAGCGTCGATAAATCAACAATTTTTCAACGCTTCCTCGTCATGGGAAAAATTCGAAACGCCAAATTCGAACGCAAATGAGTTCCACATGAATTGAGTGAAAGTGCCATTGCACATCGTTTGAATATCGTCATGTCTTTGCTTTGCCGGACGGAGAAACGGAGTTTTTTGCGGCGAATTGTAACTGGAGATGAAAAGTGGATTTATTTTGATAATACAAAACGAAAGAAATCGTGGGATGGTCCAGGACAACCATCAACATCGAGAGCAGAACGGAACATTTACGGTCACAAAGCAATGCTCTGTATTTGGTGAGATATGGTGCGGTGTAGTATTCTTCTTCTAAAACCGAATGAAACGGAGAATGTTACGGAGGAACGATACCAGCGACAAATTGAACAAATTGAATGATGAATCGATGCAATAAAGGCCACCGATAGCCAGCAATAGACGCAAAGATTCTTTTGCGCGATAATGCTCGTCCACACGTCGCTTCAATCGTTAAACAAACATTGTCAGAATCCGAATGGGAAATCCTTCCAGACTTGGCACTTGATTTGATTGTCATCTATTCCGATCTATTCCGATCGATGCGACACGCTTTGGTAGATGCACACTTCAATAATTACGAGGATGTGCAAAAATGGATGTCTGATTGGATTGCTTCGAAAGTTAAGTCGTTCTATCGTCGCGGAATCGCTATGTTGCGACAAAAATAGGAGAAGAGTCACAGCTGACGACGGAAAATATTTCAATTGATATAAATTCAACCATTTCTTTAAAATAAAGATAAGAGATTGACAAAAGTAGAAGCAGAATTAATTCAACCTCCTAATAATGTTTTCCGCACGGGACTTGGTTCTCTCCTCGGAAACTTTTCGATTTCCGGGAGTGTCCGTCGAGCGCTCAACATTGCGCGAATCTCGTCGCAAAAATCGCAGTTTTGCTGAATTTTATTCCGGGAATTTCAAAAACTACAATATTCCATCGGTAGCGAAAGATCGTATACAGATGCGTATATACGTCGATGTTCCTTCAAGTTGATGTTATCGCACAACAGCAGCACTTCCGTCTTTGGTAGTATTCAGGTAGATCAGACGACGCGAGCACGCTAATACCGATAATAATACGATACAGCTTTATCGCGTGGCTGGACCAACTTGCTCTTTGGGTGAGCGAAAGATCAAAAGAACACTGCAACTTTCGGCGAAAACATTTCGCCAATTAAAAGCGTAAGTAGTCCCGAGGCTAGTCGCGTTCTTGCAACTCGACTCAAGCTGCTTGCGAGCGAGCTTCTTCCTCGCCTCTTTTTCTCACAGCGCAGTCAAGCGCACGCGATGAGAGGATGTTCGATATATCAATGAACTCGAGAAAACGAAGTCTCTCTCTCTCTCTCCCCGTGCCGCGGGAAAAGTGTCATTCCACCACACTTCTTCGACTTCTCTCTTCCGCGTAGAAGCGCTCCCCGTTCCGGCTAGTTTCCGCGCGCCTCTCTCTGCGTATCGATACCCTCTGTGTGTGACCCTGACGCATCCCCCCACAGCGGTGCGGGCGAAGCCGCGGTGGTGATCGAGATAGCCGGGCAGCAGGACGGCGAGCGGAGCGCCAGGCCCAGCGTCTCGTCGATCTCGTCGATCCTGAACCAGAGCGCCGACGACAGCGACTCCGGCTTCCACGGCTTCCAGTCGCGCGACGACCCGAGCCACGCGTCCAACAACAACTCCAGCCCGAACAGCGCCAACACTGCCTCCTTCCCGAACCTGAGCGGCAGCAACAGCAACGGCAACTCCGCCGGCAACAACCACACGAGCGACTCGCAGTCGTCGCACCCGATGATGAACGGCTGGATCCAGCAGTCGCCGCAGTACGGCCAGCCCGGCACCTCGCAGCCACCGCCGGCGCCGCCGGCGCCGTCGTCGCAGCAGCAGCAGCAGCAATACGGCCACTTGCTGCCGTCGCAGCAACTGCAACCGGGCCACTCGCACCAGCACCAGGCGCTGCTGCTGCAACACCTGCCTGCGCATCAGAACCCGGCGCTGCCGAGCGCTCACCAGACGTCGCACCCGCACAAGCACCAGGTGCTGCTGGTCCAACAACAGCCGCAGCCACAGTCGCAGCAGCAGCCGCAGCATGCCGGCGGCGGCGGCGGTGACCGGCTGCAGACCGTCCAGCCCATGTCCCGCAAGTTCGGCCAGCCGATCTACGCGAACGCGCCGCCGAAGCCGAGGAGGCTGACCGACGGCTCCAACGAGTACTCGACGCCGTCGCCGTCGCCGGATTACCGCAAGAGCCCGGTCTCGCCGGACGTCGTCACGGTGGCCAGCAAGAGCCCGATGTCCGACTACGAGGCCGCCGCCGGCGGCGGCCGCAGCGCGATCTACGCCGCGCGGATCAACCAGCAGCCGTCGCAGCAGAGCCTGCGCACCGACAAGTCCGGCCTGAATTACGGCTACGGCCAGACCCAGCCGACCGAGAGGAGGACTCCGGACACGTACGGCCGCAACGCGAAGCCCCGGCCCGCCGCCGGCAGGCCCAACGGCGACTACGAGGAGGTCTACGGCACCCCGCAGCTCTACCAGAGGCCCGCCGGCCCGGTCGGCTACACCAAGAGCACCGCGCCGGCGCCCATCGCCATCCCGCTCTATGCGCAGCACCAGCAGCAGCAGCATCTCCAGCAGCAGATCAAGCCGCCCGTCACGCCGCCGACCGGTGAGAGCTTCTTTCTTTCTTTCCGTCTTCTCATCTCCGCGCGCTCTGTCCCTCTCGTCTTGCCTGCCGATCCGGACGCGACGGCAGCCTCGCGTAGTTACCCGAGTAGAAAAATTAATAGGGCTCTCTCTGGTAAGGGTCTGGATTCTTTTCCTCTGACATTAATCGGGCCTTGGTAGGGATAGAGAGATAAGGGCCCTACAAGATGTGTAACGCAGGTTTCTCAACCTTTTTCGTATTTCACACCCCTAAAAATTTATTAATGAACCTTTGCACCCCCTACAAAAGAAAATCATTATCGTATGTTTTATGGTAAAAATTAGTTGTTAGGGTTTTAGGGTATAAGAAGTTATTTTATAATAATTTATTACATAGTATTGTTTTATAGAAAGTAACTATCATTTTAATATTATAACATTATTATCCATGGTATTGGGCTGGCTTCGCATAGTGATACGTAATGAATATATAGGCAGATAGGTAAAAAATATATAATTTTAATAACACTTTTTTTAATTTGATGGTAAAAATGCCGGATTATTCCAGAATTCATCTTAATCATCATTATTAATTACAATCATTTTTCCTCGCACCCCCAAGAATATGTTTTCATACTCCCGGTCGGGAACCCCTGATTTAACGGATCCTTACATGACAATATCAACAGGGCCTCATAAGTCAATATTAATAAGGCGTTATAAAGAAATATTTTTATTATTGCTTGAGTAAAAATATCCGTTCCTTTCATTTCGAGAAACTTAGACTGTAATTTATTTATTTCTTTAGAACCTTGTTAGTATACAATGAGAATTTTTTATTTAAAAAATATAGCATACTTTACAATAAAATATAGTATTCTTTACGCATAAAAATTCTGCCACTGTTTTTACTAAAGTTTTTACTAAAGTTCGCTGCATTTCAAAACGAAGGCAATATTAGAAAAATCCTTGGAAGAAACTAATGAATACTAGCAACTAATAAAACTAATAAAATTTGTTTTTAATTGCGGTTAAATAATTAAGAAATCTTTAAAAGAACTAGATAAAGCGTAGCCGTTACCGAAACAAAATTAAGTGGTGACAATTTTATTACACGCTTCAGATCTTATTAATTTTCTATAACAAAACTTGATTCTGTATATCTAAAGCATCCCTAAAAAAATCCTTCCAAAACCCTCATCAGCTTCCCCTATCAAAGGCTTATTTCGTAAAATCTATATTAGGCGATATTCCTAAAAGATTCATCTCCGAGCCTGATGTGGTAATAATGACATCCCTTTTCAGGCCATCCTACTTTCAGCCTTATCGGGGCCTTATGCTTTATCAGGATAGCCCTAACAACAATTTTTTGCTCGGGTAGCTCGGCGAATGCCGCCGTGTCCGCTCGTCCCCTGAGACGAGTATCGAGGAGGTACTTTACGTGGACGCGGCTTCTCCCTGCGACCGGGCTTTCTCGCCTCGGAGAATACGCGCCCGGGGAATTGTACGCGACACGTCCAATCTCAGGATGCAGTGTCGCGCGAGGAGTTTCCGCCAGGGACCTCGGCTCCTCGCGAGCGAGCGCGAGGACGCTTCGCTTCCCCGGCGTCGCTGTCCCGAGAAGTAACGACGATTCGTCTCTGACGATTCTCTGTTTCGCTCGATCTATCTCTTCTTCTCGCTCTCGTCCTCGTTCTGGCGATTTTCAGCGTTGCATTATCGCGATAATCGCCGCGACGGTGAACGTCCTCGTTTCGCGCGAGGCGACTAAGACGTCACTCAGCCGATAATCTATCGTCCCCTTCTGCCGTTCTGTTTTCTCCTCGCTTCTCTCTTTTCCTCCCTGAGACCCTCCCCCTCCCCGGAGACCCCGGAGACCGGAGATTCCTCTTCCTTCTTCCTCGTGTCACAAAGAGCGTGTCGGATAATTCGCCGCTGTGCGATCCGGCCGGCGGCCGAGACACGACGATACAAAGGGCTGGATTTGCTTCCTCCAGTGTCGATGGTGAGACAATCGTCCAGAGCCCAACCGCCACCGCGGCCACATAGCGCGGACTTTCTCGAGTACGAGGCGGCGAGGAGACCCCAGCAACAGCCTGCGCAATGCGAGAAACCCCCGAATCAGCCGAGGCGCCCGCAGAGGCCCAAGTCTAGCTTGGACATAGTGAACCCGTCGGACACGACCAACGACGGTTACTTTTACTCCGAGGAAAGGTAAAGAACGTCGAGAGAGCGGAATGTTGAAAAAAGAAAACACAAAAGGAACGGGTGAGAGAAAAGAGACTAAAAAATGTGAGAATAAAGCCGGCGTCTTTCTTTCTTCTCCTCTCTCTCTCTCTCTCTCTCTGTTTCTATTTCTCCTTAACTGCTAGTATCTTTAGCATTTTAGTATATAGACGCAATTTTTCCATACGATTTTTCCTACGAGGATAGAACATCGAAAAAAAAAACAAAAGAAACGGGTGAGGAGAGAGACGAAAAAAGTGAGAATAAAGCCGGCGTCTTTCTTTCTTCTCCTCTCTCTCTCTCTCTCTCTCTCTGTTTCTATTTCTCCTTAACTGCTAGTATCTTTAGCATTTTAGTATATAGACGCAATTTTTCCATACGATTTTTCCTACGAGGATAGAACATCGGAAAAAAAACAAAAGAAACGGGTGAGAAGAGAGACGAAAAAAGTGAGAATATAAAGCCGATGTCTTTTTTTCTATTTCCCCTTAATCGAAATCGGTAGTATTTTTAGCATTTTAGTATGTAGACACAGTTTTTCATACGATTTTTCCTACGAGAGTAGAACGTTGGAAAAAAAAAAACACAGAAAGAACGGGTGAGAGAGGAGAGACGGAAAAAGTGAAAATAAAGCCGACGTATTTCTTTCTCCCTCTCTCTTTCTATCTGTCCTTAACCGAAATTGCTAGTATTTTTAACATTTTAGTATATAGATGCAATTTTTCGATACGATTTTTCATACGAAAATAGAACGTTAAAAAAAACCAAAAAAAAAGAGTAAGAAGAGAGACGAAAAATGAGAATATAAAGCCGACGTCTCTCTCTCTCTCTCTCTCTCTCTCTCTCTCTCTCTCTCTCTCTCTCTCTCTCTCTCTCTCTCTCTCTCTCTCTTTCTACTTCTCTTTAACCGAAATCGCTAGCATTTTTAACATTTTAGTATATAGACACAACACAATTGTTTTTCCATATGATTTATGTGCAGTGTTTATTATTATTTTGCATTTATATTTACTCGCGACATACCTGCATTAGCGCGCTTTTGTAATTACTATTTTTTTCTATTTTTTGTTGCTATACAACGTATTAGAAGTGCGATTTACTTTTAAGAGTTTTGCAAGAGTTGGCACTAATGTCAGTTTTGTCGAAGACATTCCAATCACATCTATTGTTTCTTAATGCTTTAATATTAATCCATGATATTTAGTCATTTACGAACGATAGATGCAGTAAAAATCGTATTAATACCATCTTAAAAATGGAGCTTCCTAAAGAGCTTCGTAAAGAGCTTCGTAAGGAGTTTCCATTTTTGACGTGCATTGCCTTTATTTTTTAATCAGAAGAAAACGGCGGCTGAAGGTTATAGAATTCTGATAGAAATTTGTGGTGTCGTTGCTCCATGAATTAAAACATATGAATATTGGCTTAGACGATTCAAAAGTGGTGATTTCAATGTTAATGATAAAGATCGCTCGGGACAAGCGAAAAAGCTTGAAGATGCAGATTTGCAAGCATCATCGGACAAAAATCCAGCACGATCTATTTCAGAACTTGCCAGAGCATTAAATGTTGATTGTTGACAACAGTTACTACGTTTACATGGTATGAGAAAAATTTATAAAGAAGGAAAATGGGTTCCACATGAATTATCGGAAAATCCCGTTGCGAACTGGTTAAATATTTGCATTTCGTTGATAGACAAGAAATGAGTTTTTTGTATCGAATTGTTACTGGGGATGAAAAATGAATTTATTTCGATAATCCCAAACGAAAAAAATCATGGTTGATTCGGGCCAACCAGCAACATTCGAGGTACAATATTCATGGCTCAAAGGTATTGTTATGTGTATTTGGTGGGATCAAGAATGTATTGTGTATAAACTGTTAAATCCGAATGAAATTGTCACCGCTGATCGTTATCGACAATAATTATACAAATTGAAGCGAGCATTGGACCAAAAACGATCACCAATTGCGAGCAAACGACGCAAAGTGATCCTTCTTCACGACAATGCTCGACCTCATGTTGCATTATCAGTGAAGCAAACGCTATTAGAGCTGGAATGGCAAGTCTTACTCGTGTATTCTCCAGACATTGCTCCATTCGATTATTACTTGTTTTGGTCGATGCTTCAGAAGATACGTATTTTTATAACTTCGAACAAGTGCGAAAATTTGTTGAAAATTGGATCAAGAAGAAGAATCCGAAGAAGAATCTTTTTATCGTCGCGGAATCCATCTCTCGCCAGAAAGATGGGAAAAAATTTGCAGAAAACGATGGAAAATATCGTGATTAAGATATTCATTCACCATCTTGTTTAAGTAAATCAGTTTTTGAGAAGAAAAACCCTCAAAATTAAATTACACTCCTAATATAAAAGATTTAGCGTTTGATTTGTCCCAAGATGCAAGTAAATTTGTACCTCTCTCTCTCTCTCTCTCTCTCTCTCACGCACAGCACCTTCGCTCCCTGCATCATCTACTTGTATTTGCGCTCAGGTACGCGGCGCAGATGCGCCAGTCCGCGGTTTACCTGCACCAGACGCCTCAGCACTATCAGCAGCAGAGGAATCAGTCTCTGTCACGCGCGACGATGCAGCCGAAACTGCCGGGCATCCGCGACAAGCCCGACGAAAGTAGAGTATCCACCTTGCCGGACTCGTCGTGCCCTGCGCTGAGGCGCTCGCAGCAGCGGGATCACGTTCATCAGCAGCACACGATGCCCAGTCAGTCGCTGACGCAGAGACATTCCGAGTGAGTCGCACAGCACATTGCTGGAATAAACGATTAGGGAGCCCGGGGGAATCCGAGTCCGCCCTTTGAAATTCCGTCGCTGTGTAATTTCAAGACGCTGCGACGACTAGCTGCGCGCGTTCGCCCGATGTCAACGGCCCCGACCATCTCCGTCGTATAACTTTCACCTCCTGTTTCCAAAGTCGACGAAGGCGTTTCTCAACTCGCGTAAACTCGCGCGAGACGCATCGGGAGACAGAGAGAGAGAGAGAGAGAGAGAGAGAGACAGAGAGAGAAAGAGAGAGAGAGAGAGAGAGAGAGAGAGAGAGAGAGAGAGAGAGAGAGAGAGAGATCGAAGCGTCCGGTTATCTTTTCAGTTTCGCAGTCCCTTCAGTTTTTCTCTCACGTTTGTCGCGAAATTTCCCTATTCTTTTCTTTTCTCTCTCTCTCTCTCTCTCTCTCTCTCTCTCTATCTATCTATCTCTATCTATCTCTATCTCTGTGTCTCTCTCTCTCTCTCTCTCTCTCTCTCTCTCTCTCTCTCTCTCTCTCTCTCTGGTCAAATCCGACGATTTTTCGGAAAAGGATGCAGAGCGACCGACGTCGCTTCTCTCGGATTCGATCGGAGCGTCACGCTCGAGCGTTCGTTCCCACCAGGATCATGGGCGCCGATCCGAAGCTGCGGAGATCGCTGCGCGAGAAGAGCTGCGAGGCGAACGGCCGCGAGACGCTGGCGACGCACGTCGGCGGCGGCGGCGATGACAACACGGTGCCCCGAAGAGTGCTGCCGCGCGAGTACGACGGGTGGGGAAGGACGACGGGCCACGGTGGCCATGGCACTCACATCTCACAGACGTGTCACGCCGGTTACGCAGGTGGCGGCAGGCGATGGAGCGAGCAGCAGCAGTTCTGTAGATCGGCGTCGGCGCGCCTGCCGAGGACGCGACATCCGGCCGCCCTCGACCCGGACGACGACGACTACGCGGAGAGGTCCTCCGAGCAGGACTCGCGGGATGGCGAGCGCAAGATTCAGCAGGTGAGATCTTTCGTTTCTCGGCGTTTCTCGGCAAAGTGCGGCTCGCTTCGTGGCCGAAGATGCTAACTCGCGAAGATTCTTCGCTACACTGCGCGGTTGTAGAAAAGTTTCCCTCGACCGTCGAGTTTAAATACTCGCGACGGAGGACACCAAGGACAAAATTCCCCCGCGCTTCCGCGATTCCGCCGTGCCGGTCGGCGCTCTGAAATCGGACTTCTCCCTTGATCGCGAGAGACGTTTCGAAGGCTCCGATCCGAAGGGAACTCGAGAAAAAGCGCCTCGCCGCGGGCTCGTTTCCCGCTATGTCCCTCGCGAGGAATCGTGCTGAAAGGAGAAACGCTGAAATGGAAACTCCCCCGCAAACTTGCTCCGCTCTCCTCTCTTTCCGGTGCTTTGCGTCGGAAATTGCGACGGCTCTGCAGACGCAACGGTCGACGCGGCACGTGGCTTTCGGATTCAGCTTCGGTAGGCCGGCTGGGATGAGTCATCGATGAGACTACCTGTCGGTCGTGGAAACCATCGTCAAGATCGTCGGTATTATCTCGGCAGAGACAATCGCGCTTCGGTAACACCGCTCGGCCGAGGCGAGTGAATCACCACGACGTCGCCTCCACGTCGTGGCCTGCGTCATCGTGCCTGTCCGTCATCGCAGCTTTCTCTGTCGCTCGTTCGCTCATTCACTCGATCGATCTGATCGCTTGACCGCCGTCTTACTTACGTCACGCTGCGAGCCGTCGGATTTTCCCACGCTTTTCCACTCGATGTTGCCCATTTTGAATAAAGAACATAAGGAAGGAACGTATTGCGATATCGCCCGGGATATCGATAGTCGGTCTTCTTGAGGCCCGTCTTCTTGAAAAAATGTCGCATACCATTCATTTCACGAATGTCACCAGATACCACCGGCTGTTCTCAGCCAATTAAATTCGTCCATTGATGAGATATCGTATATGATTTTTTCACGAATTTTCGACAACAAGGGCCTTGGGCGTGAACATGTAACATACAGCTATAAGCTTGTTACCGGAAACAAAACATTCGCGGTATACCTCGACGAATACTTGGGAAATGTACAAGAAAGGATAAAAACGTCCTCGAGATGTGCGTATTGTGCAGTTATTGATCCTTTGCACTCGGATGTCCCCTCCTCTTTCAGGGGACACAAAGACTTTATTAGTGATTATACAGGATAAACTTGTGCGAGCGCAAATTTTCCATAAAATACATGTTTTCTTGGTGATACACCACATGATATGGTGCCATTTGAGAAGAAGAACAAGCAAGCCTTAGACTGTAGCCTAAGAGAAAGAGACTTTCAAAGCTGAAAGCAGTTGAAGTATTGAAGTATCGAGCGGCGAAGATCGTTACCTGCACCACCAAGTCAGAAAAGTAAAATTGGAAAAGTAATATTCTTTTAGTAAATTTCACTTTGTGGTTTCGCAGTTTACAGTTAGAAATTTCTGACCCGTTCATTTAGTTTACAGAACAATGGCAAAGCGAACCTGCAACGCATACCGGTGATTGTTTCACACGTTGTCACACGTTAGAAAAATATACGATACAAAATTTTGATTTTTTCTTGTCATAAATATGTTCCCCAGTGTCTAAAGAATCGTATAAACCAGATATCATTGCAATAAATTACTTGGTTTCAAAACTGCACTATTTACTATGACACATTTTCCTAAAAAGGTGCCGCCGAGCTGCTGGTAGGTAAACCCGCGAGATGACTCCGAGTGCAAAGGGTTAATACTGTTGTCAAGTTCATAACAAAACATAGATAAACATATGATTATCAGTTAACTTGTCAAGAAGTTCGAAATAATCGGTCTTCAGTCTTATTTCAGTCTTCTCAATTACTGTTTCTCACTCTCTCTCTCTCTCTCTCTCTCTCTCTCCAGTCGATTCGACTTGCAATGATCGATACCCGTTTTCGGTACAATAGCACGGCGTTACATCCGTCGCACCCTCTCCCGTATATTTTGCCGATATCCTCCTTCCTTATGTTCTTTATTCAAAGATGTCGCCCAACCGGCGAGAATTCCTGCGCCGCGTCCGAGATCCGTTGGCGAGTGACGAGCCGCGTTTACGCTTCCCGTTGCAGCGCGAAGAGTCGATGAAGCGGCTGCTGGAATGGAAGCAGCGTATGCTGCAGTCCCCGCTGACGCGCAAGCCGTCCGGCTCGGCGAACCGCGGCAGGGCGCAGAACGATCTGTCGAGTTACTACAAGCAACAGGCGCTGCTGGACTTGGCAGCGCACGAGGCCGCCGTCGCGGAGGGCCGTCACTCTCGGCGGCGGGAGGACGGCCACCGCTCGCACATCAGGAGCAAGAGCTCGGACGGCCGGCGGACCGCCGCCGCCAACGTGTCCCGCTACAACAGCTACTCCAGCGATGACGAAGGTAAGGACAGCTCGCCTGAACTGATCATCTAAATTGTGGTTGTTGCGTCGGCCTGTGCTGTTATTTATTATTGCTGCTGCTGTTGCTGCCGCGCGAGCGTGTCGCACGCGAGGGACCCGCTGCGCTGCGAAGTGTCGCGAATGGGGCGGGGGGGAGGGGGGCTTCGATGCCATTCGCGGAGGATCCTTCCTCTGCGAAGCCGTCGTCGTTCCCGTCGGGCTTCGCTGGCGCGAGTCCCTCGCAAGCGCCGCGCGCTATCCTGCGACTCTGTCGGTCGGTCTCTCTTGAGCGGTAGATAGTTGTCCCGAGCTGGAGGCAATCCTAAACAGATTTCTAACACGACCACGTTTAATCGCTAACACGGTGAGGAGTGTCCATAACGCCGCGCTCGCGGTAACCGCTCGCGGAAACTCGACAGGCATATCTCTCCTCGCGCACGAGAACGCACGTCGGAGAGAAGCTCGCGCCTTGTGTGTGTGTGTGTGTGTGTGTGTGTGCGTGTGCGTGTGCGTGTGCGCGTGCGTGTGTGTGAATGGACGTTTGTCGCGCGCAGACCGCGATATCTCTCCCTCGCGAGGGTGCTCGATCGATCTGTGCTCTGATACTACCAATTACCAGCACGTAAACTGCATCTCGATTAACAACGAATCGTGAAGGGTCTACACCTACAAGTAGTCTAACCAAGATATCCCGAGTTTCGTGTGTGTGTGTGTGTGTGTGTGTGTCTCTCGCGTCTCCGCTGCAATTAATAGCGCGAGGCGGCTGAACTGTCGACTTGCGCGCGCCACTCGCGCGCGAGTCGGTCGCAAGTCGCAGGCTCGTGGCTTGTTTGGTTGTTTCTCGTCATTCTTACTAATCACGATCGTCGTGGGGAGCGAGTCTTTCCTGCGAGAGGCGCGGCGTGCGGCGCGGTGCGTCGAACGACGAGAGACAAAAGACGAGACGAGCAGGAGAGAAGAGGTTCCAAGTGACGGATATCTGCGAGCGTTTCTCCGCGGGGCTCCTTCTATCTGCTGCTGTTGGGTCTGGGCTGACTGGTGAATGGGCAAAAGCGATTAACAATCTTACAAGCGAGCATCCGTACAACCCCTTAGCCCGCGTCTTAACACCCGGAGCAGCGGCTCGCGCTCCGGATCGCGGCCGTAGAACGAGAGAGACCTCTGGCTCTCAGCATGGCATGCCAAACTATCTCACTAACACTCAGCCGCGCGACTGCGATCTGCCGGTAGGTCTACCTTTTCCACAGCTCGTGTGTCCGCTACGTACGACTATTGACTCGCGTCATCGACTCGCCCGACCGACCCCGGGATCCCGATCATGCTGCGGTCGAGAGTCCTGCGACGACGAAACTTGTCATTCAACCTCTCTCTCTCTCTCTCTCTCTCTCTCTTCCCTCCCCTTCCCCCCTCCCCCTTTCTCTCTCTCTCTCTCTCTCGTCGCGCTCGTACCGATTCCGATCACATCCCCCCAATCGTCGATCACCCACGCAGACGAGCAGACGATGCAGTGATCCCCGATCTTCGTGGTCGCGCTTGGCGAGTTGACTCGAGACTTGTGCGCGGCTGAAGACGGAGCTCGCTCGACTGAGACGCGGACGAGCGAGACGCATTTCGGCCGAGGAACGCGGAACTTCCGGTTCCGCTCTTCTGAGCCAAGTCCGGCTCCAAGAAGCTCGGAAGCTCGGTTTCCCTCGGCGAGGATCGCGTCCGCTCGTAGTCGCGCGGTTCGCTCGAGCGACCCCTTTCCCCCGCGTATGAATGCACACGGGGTTGAACGCGGTAATTGGGGGATTAAGAAGCGAAATGGCCTGCTGTCTCTCTCTCTCTCTCTCTCTCTCTCTCTCTCTCCATCTCTTCACCCACCTCACTCACTCTCATTCCTCCCGGCCGACACACACTCGTACTCGTAAGTAACGGACATACCCGTGTCTTTGTCTCTTGGTAACGAACGAATCAGAGCTGGGGGATGTCCGGAGGAAACGTACGCGCAGACCTTCGCATGCAGGAAGGAGCCCCCGACACGCCGGCGACGACCGGCCACCGGCGACGTCGGCCGTCCAGGACGTCACGTTGCCCGCCGGCCGCACGAGCGTTAATCAGCCGCACGGCCAATCGCACAAGGCGCAGCTTAACGCTCGCTGCAGAGCCGGCCCGGGTGGAGGCGGCGCGCCCGTCGCGCTGTCCTCTCTGGGTGGCATACCGCCGGACGCGGGTTACGACGAGGTGAGTTTCCCGCCGCCTCCGCCGCCACCGCCGCCGCCGCCGCCGCCGCCGCCGCCGCCGCCGTCGTCGTCGTCGTCGTCGTCGTCGTCGTCGTCGTCGTCGTCGTCGTCAATAAGAAACGACGAGTACGCATACGCAGCCGCGCTGTCGGCGGACAAGCGGTCGAGGAAACGGCCCGAGGAGGTCGCCTTCGAAGAAGCCGCGATCAGGCACAAGAACAGCCCGCGGAAGCCGCCGGGAGGAATCCTCAAGACCTCGAGCGTTTACGGTTTCGAGCGGCAATTCGTCGACGGCGGCGACAAGACGGAGAACAGCGACGGCGGCGGCGGGCTGTGCGGTTATCGCGCGGCCGACGCTTGGCACGTGGCGAAGAACGTGCAGTGGGACGCCAAGGAGGACAACGACGAGTGGGGGGACCCCGGCATCGACGAGAGCAAGGTCATCAAGGAGTTCTCTTACCAGTACATCAGGCCGAAGGAAGCCGGCGACGCCAAAACGGACGAGAGGCATGAGTCGATGAACCTGGTGCAATGCAGGATCCGCTCGTTCGAGATGAACCTCGACGGCGCCGCTTCCGAGAAGGAGGTGCTGTCCATGCAGGAGCCGCTGAAGGTGTCGCCGTTGCAGGCGATCGAGGCTCACATCTCGAAGCTGGAGTGCTCCAACTCGAAGACTTCGTCCGTCATACGCAGCTTCGCGCTCGGCGACCCGAACGCCGCGGAGAACTCTTCTAGGTACAAGAGCGTCGAGCAAGGCCACTCCAAGCAGGCTTCCAGCGACAGCAACAAGTCGGTGAAGGACCTGTTGGCGGACTTCGAGCGCAAGTCGCAGCAGGCCAACTGGCAGAAGTGCGAGAAGCGGCAGGAGGCGAAGCACCACGCCGATCATTGCGAGAGCGAAGCACTGCGCTACGCCGCCGCGATCGGCAGCTTGGACCGCCGAGGACACAGGAGAACCTGTGTCGAGCGGGAGAAGCTCATCATGGACAAGGACAGCGACGACAGGGACGAAGATCAGGTCGCGCAGTGTTTCACTGTGGACACCCTGTACGCAGATGTTGGCAAGCAAATCGACGGCTCCTCGAGGCAAGGTAAGCCGATCGCCTCGGAGGACGGTCTAGCTGAGCGATGCCTGCCGAGGCCCGCCGACATGGACATCGTCGTCTCGCCGGGTTCGCCGACGCGCGACAGGACTAGCGTGACCGAGTCCTTGCTGACGCACGGCGACCAGTTCTCCGGCGACAGTGACCAGCCGACCAGCTGCATCTCGAAGCAGGACGACGCGAGTGTCGAGGATCATTACCTGCCTATGACGCCCAGGAAAGCCATACTCGACCCGAACGGCGACGACCGGCCGAACCCGAAGATCATGGAGAGCCTGTTCGCCAATCTGGAGCACGAGGAGAGCTCTTACGTGGAGATGTCGCAGAACGGGATGAGTCGCTCGTTGCTGGCGCCAAACGGAGACGGCGACAAGCACGATTCCGGCGACTACTCCACCCTGGACACGTCGCACTATGAGCTGGTGTGCGTGTCGGACAGCAAGATGGAGCCGGTGTACATGGAGGTGAGCCAGTTGTCTGAGAAGGAGGACGAAGAGAGCGGCGGCGGCGGCGGCAAAATGTCGACGAGGCGAAACAGCGCCAACGACGGCGCGACGCATCCCCGAGCCGACCTGCCCGACATTCTGACGGCGCTCAAGTCCGACAGTTCCGACGCCGACGACGAGTCGTCCAAGGACTTGGACTCGATCGACGCGCCGCGGCACCCGCGCTTCAGCCTGTCCGACACTTTCCGGCCCGCGTCTTACTACCTGGGCGCCAGCCGCAACATGATCGCCGAACTGCACGACTCGTCGGACAGCGAGCTGGTGTCTCCTCCGCCGATACCCACCTCCCCGCCTCCCCTGGACGACCTGGACTCGTTGGAGATGCAGGAGTCGTTGGAGATGAAGAAGGTCTCGCCGCAGGTGGCCACGGGCAAGGACAACGTCGCGCTGAGTCGCGACTCGCCCAAGTCCTGGAGCAAGCCGTTGGGTCAGGTGGAGGCGCACAGGCCGCCGTCGCGCTTCTCCGACGCGACCATCAGCTCCACCTTCAGAGGCAGCAGGATATCGCTGGAGAGCACGTCAGGCGGCAGCGACACGGTCGAGCTGAGGAACGACGAGGAGGCGCGGCACAGGCAACTCAAGAGAAGACCCGTCAGCGACGACGTATGCGGCGCCCTCGACAGCCTCGACGAATACGAGTCGTTGAGCAGCCGCTTCGACGGCACGAGCATTGACCTCGATCAGTACCTGGAAGAGCTGCAGGCCCGGGACGCCTTCAACGTCGACCTCTACGCCAAGGATCTCAGTTACAACAGCATCTACGGCTTCAACGAGAACATGCTGGTGGTGGACAAATTGCAGAAGACCACTCACTGCCAGGACCTCACTAGGAAGATGAAGCTGATGTCGAGCAACCTCGACCGGCCGTTCGACTACGCCTGTAAGAACAAGACCGGCTCCGCGAGCAGCCTGCCGTCCATGAGGGTGTCGGACCTGCCGCCAGCCCACCAACACTCGCAGTCCTTCACCGGAGACGCGCACTACGAGAACATCACGAGCTTCTCGCCGCTTCGGGGCTCGCCGGCGATCCGGCCGGACAGCGAACCGCCGCGCGACAACAACGTCGTCCACCGGCTGCAGAGCGCGCCGCAGAACGGCAGTGGCGGCGCGCTCGCCATCTCGCACAGCAGGGACTCCAGTTACTCGCTCGCGTCCGCCGCGGCGTCCATCGCGACGTCCATGGCCTGCCAGAGGCCCGCCAGCGCGCAGTCCTTCATGTACTCGCCCGTCAGCTCCGTGTCGTCGGTGAATCACGTCGCCCTCGCGGCCAACCAGCTGCAGCAAAGCAACGTTGCCGCGGCGAGTCCCTACGCCGGCGAGCAGCCTCGTTTCCCGAATCACTCGCGCTCCGCCAGCCATGAGCTGTACGTGCGGCACACGCTGATGCCGACGCCGAGCCACCATCGCTCCACGTCCAGCCAGGACTGCAGTCATTACCCGTGCTCGTTGGCGCCGCCGCCGCCGCTGCCGCTGCCGCCGCCACCGACGACGACACCGGTGTCGACGTCGTCGCAGAGCGTCGTCAAGCAGTCGGTGCTGCAGTCGTACCTGCCGAACGCCGGCGAGCAACGTGTGCTGACCAGTGCCGACCAAACCGGCGCGCCGTATTACTACTCCGATCTCCAGGCCAGCGTGAACAACGTGAACACCGAGCTGGCCAAGCCGACGATCGGTCACAGCTCGAGGTTACCTCAGCTGAACAACCAGAGGGACGACGCGAGCGGCTTGAACAAGCGGAACGACATCGGCCGCATAGTGAACCCGATCGCGCGGCAAATGCCGCGGCGCATTCAAGTGGACGACATCGAGGAGGCGAGGCGCATCGCCGCCGAGCTCAGGCGCACCACCTGCCAGTTGCTGGCCGACAACAAGGCCGCCCTCGTGGACAAGAGGAACTTCTACGAGGCGGACACGCTGCGTCGCGTCAAGTCCATCGACCCGCTGCCGCCGGACGTGTCGTTGGCGGAAGTGAACGCCAGGAACCTGTACCCTCACGGTCTCAGGGATAAGTCCGCTGATCCGGTCACGGCCAGCACCGGCCACACTGCCGAGTCCATAGCGTATATCGCGCAGGCGTCTCATCGTAGATCGAGGTCCCTGGAGGGACTGCTCGACGACGTCGGCCTGCAGAATTTGATGGAACAGCGTAACCGAGCGAACCGCTCGGCGGCGGCGGCGGCGGCGGCGACGGCGACGACGGCGGCCGCTACCGCCGCCGCGTTCTCGGCCGCTTCGGTCGACCAGCTGGAGGCGCCGAGGCAGAGCCTCGCGTTGGCAGCCGGCGACCACGCGGCCGTGAACGACAGCGTGAACTTCCATGTGGACGACCCTTGGGAGCAGGACACCCTCTGGTGCGAGAATCTCCGGAGGGTGAGCCTGCGAAACGCGCGTTCGCTGGATAACCTGGACAGTCCACCGCGAGCCGGCGGCGGCTCCTCCTCCGGTGACTCCAAGTCACGCAGCAGGATCACCCGCGGAGCGACCTACGTGAACGACAGCGTCGTCCTGCGCAGGGATCACTGCGCGGACGAGCCACGCGGTGAACGAGCGCGAGTCAAACGCCGAACGAACAAGGATCGCGATCATCTCGCGCGGGAACGCGCGGCGACGTTGGTCGACGACGACGACGACGACGACGACGACGAGGACGAGCACGAAGACGTGGACGATGACGAGAACGACGTCGTCGCCACCTACGAGACCCTGTCGATGGAGCGGATCGGCGCTGGCGGTTACGTGTGGGACCCGCAGAACGAGGCCTACCGCAAGCCCAGCAGCCGCGCGGCCGACGCGACGAATCATTTTTTAGAAGACGGCAACCTTCCCCCGGCTCGCTCGATATCGGACGCCCGAATGTCCGCGGCGTCGTTCGAGCTCGACCGAGAGAAGCTCCGCCAATGGGACTTGTTGTCGAGCGCCTGCTTGCTCCAGGAACAGCAGCGCACCTCGATGGCGGACTCGGGGCGAGGGTTGCCGCTCGCGGAACATCCTGGAGACGCGCTCGATTCAAGGCACGCTGTCGTCGCGCCGTCGTCGACGACGACGACGACGACGACGACGACAGCAACGACGTCGACGATGATGAAGACGACCATGACGACGACGTCGACCATGACAACGACGACGACGACGACGACGACGACGACGATGACGACGATGACGACAGATACAGTGATCGACAACGAGCGGTTAGACGTTGTCGCAAAGCTCGATACCGCGGACGTGCGCAATGTCTTGCCGATGAGGACGATGCCGACCAAGAAGGTGCAAGAGCCGAGGGAGCCGTGTAAACGGGCTGCAGGTGAGTGGCTCCTCAACAACGCTGGCGTGTACAGACAGTGACACCGAGCCGTGTTCCAAATCGCCGAGGCTACCGAGACGCCCGCCGCTCCCACGTGTGACCATCTTGTTAGCGATAGTTGTTTAATCTTAAGTAGCAGAAGCTGTCGTTGCGCTGCGTGAGTGAGGGTTACTTCCGCGCCGGGCCGGGAGACGAGGGGGGAGGGGGGATGGGATATTCCTTGCGACGAGAGTTGGCCGAACGAGTTCTCAGTTTCTCGTCTCTCTCTCTCGAGCTATTCGAGTTTCTACGTTTCATCGGAGGCTCGACCCAAAGCGGAGCTTTCATCCGCGTTTGCAATCACCGACCTCGGGTACGTTTCTGTCTCATCAGCATCACGGTGGTCGGAAGAACGCCCGACGGCTCCCCCCGTAGACTCTTGCACCTTCGTTCTCTTCACCCCGCAGAAGCGGCTGATCAGTCGTCGACACAGCGCGACCAAATTCCCGTTTGCGAGAGCGTCCTCTCGATTGCGGACGTTCCGAGAGAACATTGCGCGCGAGATCTCGCAGACTCCTTCAGCGCCCTCCCCGGCAGCCTTTGTAAGCAGCAGCCTGGGCTCGCTGTTCGGGATTCAGCTCAATGTTCTCGCTACCAAAATGTGTACCTGCGCTTAACGGTGGCCCCGCCACCCTCTCGTAATTACGGATCAGGCCGTCGTCCAACTTACTAACGATCTACCCGCTACGATCATTTCTTTTCGTTGGACCAGTCTGTTTCGGGACCGCTTGGACAATCCAGACGCAATCTCGAGCGACGCGAGTGCAGTCTCATGATCGATGCGAGTTGGAACACGGCCTGGTGCGCGCTTGCCTGCCTGCCTGCGTACGTGCGTGCGTGCGTGCGTGCGTGTACACTCGTTTGCACAACGCTTAACACGCGTTTCTCTTTTTTCTCTTCTTTTTCCCGATGAAGTGAGGAACTCGTCGAATGGACACGATCGCGAGCCACTTTCCATGAGCTCGCATGGTAATCGGTTATTTTGGAAAGTCGAGCGACAGTACACGCTGTAAATAATGATAGATCGCGGTGTGATAAAAATATTCCTCCCGGATCCCTCGTTGCAATTGTCCTTGCTGATGTCTGATAAACTGATATCACGTCCTGCCGCAATCATTTCGTCGCGCAAACTCGCGAATAACGTTCCTGCGATCGTGAGCGTTCGACGCGCCGAATTCTCGTCGGGAGAGAAAAATGTGCAAACGAGTGTGTGTGAGAGAGACGTTTGAGGGAAAATTAAAAACGCGGTTATACAAGCTCGCTATGATCAACAAGGGACATTAAAAGGACGTTCCTGACGAACGAGACGAAATGAGCGACGAGAGAGAGAGAGAGAGAGAGAGAGAGGAGAAACAAGAAGCAAGCGGTTAATAATCGATATAACGTTGCGGGCAAGCAATCGCGCCTCTGTGTGTATCTATGTGTGTGTGTGTGTATGTGTGCGCGTGTGTGTGTGTGTGTGTGTGTGCATATTTCTTTAGAGTATACGTTTATTATATGCATTTTATGGTATTAAACCGGCGCGAGTGAAACATCGATGTAATCCAAGACGATCATGTCCTCTATTTAATTTTTCCTTTACGTTCGTCTGACTTAAGTCGCGCCAGTTAATCGACTCGAGAGTGTAATCGGGCAATGATACCGCCGACACGATTTTAATGCGATTAGTGGTGACGTTCGCGCGTCATCAGAGCGCCCCGAGCGAGTACTTTTAATTTCCTCCCGTCGACTCTCGCCGCTCCGAGAGAGCGGGGCTTCGGCGTTTCCGCTCCGCGCGATCGCGCGGCGGGCTCTCTCATTCTCAATGCGCGCGTAAGCCGCGCTTGATAATCCGCGTGAAAACGCGCGCGGCGCTGACTCGCCGCGCCGATTGTTTTCCAGCGTGACATCGACAAAACTATCGAATAGCTACGCGACACGCCATTTAATTCAGCCGCCTCGGCAATTTGCCAGGACACACCGCCGTCGGTGTTTCATCGTTCGTCGCGAAGCGCGACGCGGAATTTCGAAAAGCATTTCGCTCGGTCGTTTTCGCGATCGAGTCGGAGATTGATGACGCATCAATATCCCCGCATCTCCGTGTGTGCCATCAACGAGGGGGGAGGGGGGCGGGGGAGGCGCGCTGTTAATTATCGCGTAAATTCCTTCCGTCGTGTGAAGGACTCGGTCGATCGAGTTGCTACTCGTTAAGTTCTCCTTGGTCCTTGATTTGGTAAACTCTTACATTGGGGGGACCCACACCTCCTGTGTGACCTTGATCTCGACTTGCAGAGATCACTCTCCTCTTTCAGAAGATTTTAGCCATCGCCCGCTGTCTGTGAAAAAATTATCAACAAAATGTCTCGTAAATAAGGAGTATCAGGAGTGTGATTTGAGGATTCTTTTTTCTCAAAAATTGACTTACTCAAGCAGGATAATGAACGAATATTTTGATCAAAATATTCTCCTTCATTTTCTACAACTTTTCCCATCTTTCTGGCAACAGATGGATTCCGCGACGATAAAAAGATTCTTCTTTGGAGTTGAGCCAATTTTCAAGAAATTTTCGTACTTGTTCGAAGCGTGTGTCCTCCTCTAGAGCATGTTGCATCGAACTGGAACAAATGATAGTCGGATGAAGCAATGTCTAAAGAGTACGCGGGGTGCGGTAAGACTTGCCATTCCAGCTCCAATAGCGTTTGCTTCACTGATAATGCAACATGAGGTCGAGCATTGTCGTGAAGAAGGATCACTTTGCGGATCGGTTACTCGCAATTGGTGATCGTTTTTGTTCCAATGCTCGCTTCAATTTGTATAATTGTTGTCGACAACGATCAGCGGTGACAGTTTCATTCGGATTTAACAGTTTATACTACACAACACCTTCTTGATCCCGCCAAATAATGCTTGCATTTTCAAGCTTTTTTGCTTGTCCCGAGCGATCTTTGTCGTTACTAAATACTGAAGTCACCATTTTTGAGTCGTCCGAACCAATATTCACTTGTCTTAATTGATGGAGCAACATCACCATAAGTTTCTATCAGAATTCCAAAAGCAAAATATCGAAAATGCTCTAAAAATAGAGCTTCTCAGGAAGCTCCATTTTTAGTTTTTAAGATGGTATTAACACGATTTTTACTACGTCTGTTGTTAGTAAATAACTAAATATCATGGATTAATATTAAGACATTAAGAAACAATTGCTGTGATTGGAATGTCTTCGACCGATATTAGTGTCGTTTCTTGCAAAATTCTCAAAACTATATCACACTTTCAATATTTTTCCGACGTATTGAAAAATATTAAACAGTACACTTGCTCCTTTCTGAAGAAAGAAAGACCTAGCTTAATTTCTAACTTAACCGTTAACTTATATATCTTTGCATATAGTTGGTGGGTTTTAAGCAGGACGTTTTCAACAACCATACGCAAAAATGTACAAGTTGGGTTAGAGTTAGGTTAGGTTAGGATTAGGTTAGGTCAGATTTATTCACGGAAGAGATGCAAAGACAAAGGTTGACTGCGCCTTTCCTCCGCTTCTACGTACCGTTTAACATTTTTTAATGTACGCTATGTCGGGAAAATACGTCTTATCCATGAGACATTTTTTGTTAATAACTTTTTAATAAACAGAAGGAGCGACAGCGCTCAAATTTTCTCAAAGTTATTTAGAACAGAGTGACCTTCGCAGTATAAGCCAAGATTGAGTTCACAGGAGGTGGATCTCTCAATGGGAAGGTTTCACTTAATATTTTCTGTCCAACAAGGTATAAAGGATTTCGCTTTCTTGTCCTTTGTTTTGTATTTGTATGCCGCGCGGTACGAAATTGCTATGGAAAGTATCGGTGGCAAGAGATGAACGTTCTCTTCAACAACGGACACGTATTTGTAACATTTTCATCGTTCGTTTTTATCTTTTTCTTCCTTGTTCGAACAAACTGGTATTTTCAAGTTAAGGGTTGAGATGTATATAGCTCAGATTTATATATAAATTGTACAAAAAGAGAGAGAGAGAGAGAGAGAGAGGGGTATCAGTTTCCCACAATACACGATACAGGGTTGCCTCGTTGCTGACTGAAACTTTTTGCATTCTTGATAGTGCTAATTTCGTTCGTCGAATGGTCGGAGCGATCGTGCTACAGCTATCACCTCGATAATAATTTATGTGAAGACGCCGCAGTGGCTATTCGCCAACCAGAGCATCGAGCGCGTTCTATTTCATATATATGCTACTTCCTAAATAAACTACGAAAGTGTATACAAACATAGACGAAACCGGAGATACGATCGAACACAACACGCGCAAGGTAAGTTATTACCTCCAGCACGTTCGAGATCCGTGCTTGATGGTCCATTTTCGACGATTATTAAAACTTGGTCAGGCATTGTTGGTATCGAGAACGACTATAAATATCCGCGATAAATAAACATGAAGGTAGTCGAGCGTGAGTCTCCAAAATGAATACATTTATTCATTTACATTGGAAATTGTTGATCCCGCATTAACCTTGCAAATTTCACTATACTTGAAGAACCACACACATACACACACACACACACACACACACACACACACAATTTCGAAACGCAACACTGTACTATAGACTGTCGTTGCTCGATGCGACAAATGAACGTTATTTGCCGCTCTTCTCTTTACGTTAAGACTCCACCTTGAAGAGTCAATCACGCTTTTGATGAAACTGTACGCGAATTCTCCGCGTCGCTTTGTCTCGCGATATTTGCAAATCCCCGTTCGTTCGGTCCATCAAGTTCTCGACGTTCTCGACGCTGCTATTTAACGAGGGACTTGGACTTGGCGAAATGTCGAAAGTTGGAATATCGAGAAGATAAAATCGCGGAGGTGGAGGGGCCGGGAGAGGGGGGGGAATCAGAGAGCGCTTCATGCTCGCTCGCGCGTGCGGAGAAGCAGTCGTCGTCGAGCACGACAATTGTTTTTACAAGCGCGCGCACAGGAGGGGGGA